TTTGTTTATTCTTATTTAAATTATTTCTTTGATATATATTCCTTTTATGTGTTTACTTTCTTCTTTTTTATAAAAACTTAAATAACCAACAACTTTGAAGAATAGAACTAAATATTTTCTGAAATTTTCAGATTGGTATTGAAAAATAGATTTGATTGGAAAGTTCTTCCAATCAGAAATAAAATATGAGTGATGGTGATGAATTTATTACTATCCACAATCCAATTTATATATATCAAAAATATGGTATTGGAAAGTCTTTATTTAAACAAAAAGGGATAGACAAAGATGAACCAATAAGTATTATTACTAAGATTGAATATGTCTATCTTAATGAATTGAATGAAATTAATAAAGAAGACTATCGAACTATTGTATTAAATGAAAAAGAAAAAATGAAATATCAATTATATTGTGAATTAAAAAAGAAAGGTTTATTTATTAAAGATGGATTTAAATATGGATGTGACTTTGTTGTTTATAAAAACCATCCACAATATTGTCATTCATCTTATGGAGTGATTTTAATGAATATTCATCAATCTTTAATAAATAATGAATTAATTGGATTATGTAGATTATTACATAATGTAAAAAAACATTTATTACTTTGTAATTATGATAATTCTTTCATAACAATGAAAGAAATTAATTGGGTTTCAATGGAAAATAAGTGAGAAATCTAAATTTAAATAAAAAGACTAAAACAATGGTAAATTCCATTACTACTTTTACACTAATTAAAAGAATTAATAATGTTTAAGTATAAAATACTAAATAATTTCTTAAGATTTTAATTTTTTCAACTCATTTTGTTAGAACAAGTTTAACATCTTCAATGAAAAAAAAATATATTTATTTTTAACAGAATCTTCATTCTTTTAAAATGGAAGTTATTTTAAAAAAATATAAAAAAAATTGATTTAATAAAAAAGTTCCCAATAAAAATTAGTTCAATAATTAATGTCATCTTCTCTTCCACCAAGACTATTTTATTCATCCAATAGAAATCTTAAACGAACAGTAATTTCTACACCTACTATGGAACCTACTATTAAAAGAGAAGAAAAAGAACGTACATTTAATGGTATGAGTGCAGAACAAATTACACTTATGGTATGTCCATCACAATTTAGACAAGTTTATATTAAAATAACAGATACTATTGGTGAAAAGTTTAAAGAACAAGGATTAAAAATTGAAAATAAACAAACAGTTTCAGGACCATTAGAAGTATTAATTAATTGGGCTGTTACACCAGAAAATTTAGAAAGTAATTTTGCAAATATGTTTATTTTAAATTATCATACATATTGTAAACCAATTCAATTATTATCAGTTATAGATAAAATTTGTAATGATATTGTTGAATCAAAAAATGAACCAGTTAAAACAATAAAACAAAAATGGGCTAAAATCACAATTTTCATGAAAATATGGACTGACTTATTACCATATGACTTCCATGATAAAGAAATACTTGGAGCTATTGAAACTTTCTTACAAAAATATCAATCACAATTTGTTGGAATTGCACAAATTAGAAAAATGATTCAAGCAGCTCAATCTATCCCTCATTTACCTACATTTGAAAGAATTGAAAATTCTAATGGAGAAGAAAAAACAAAACCAGTTAAAGAATTAACTGCTGAAACAATTGTTGGTCAATTAAGTTTATATGAATTAACATTATTTACTGGAATAGAAATGAAAGACTTTTTAGGAAGTGCATGGACAAAGAAAGATAAATATGAAAGATGTCCAAGACTTTGTGAATTTTTAGAACATTTTAATGCTGTAACTAATTGGGTATCATATTCAATTCTTCAAGAAAGTGATATTAATGCAAGAGCTAATTTAATAAGTAAATTCATTGATGTTGCAAAAATAATGTATGAACAAATGAATTTTACAGGCTTTTTTGAATTTTATTCTGGGTTAAATTCTAGTGCAATTAGTCGATTAACAAAAACTTGGGAATTAGTTGAAAATGCTGCTCAACGAATGGATCCATTAAGAAAAGCTGCAGACCCAACAAGAAGTTATGCCTCATATAGAAAATATATTCAACAAAATAAAAGTAAAGGATATATTCCATTTATTGGAGTTATTATTCAAGATTTAACCTTCATTGATGAAGGTAATCCTGATAAGACTGAAAGTGGAGATGTTAATTTTGAGAAATGTAGAATGATGGCTAATCAATTATTAACTATTAGACCATTACAAAATGACCAACATTCAATTTATAAAGCATTACCGTTTTTCAAGGATTTCATATTATCAATAGAACAACATAAAAATGATGATGAAAAGGCTCAATATGATATTTCATTACAAATCCAACCAAGAAATTGATTTCTTTTAATTTTTAATTAATATTTGTTTTTAATTAATTAATTAAAAAAAGTAAATTAAAATTTATCGTCAAAAACCATCAATTTATTGGGCAACTTCTTGTTTCTTAATTCTAGCTTCAGCATTAAGAACTCTAATATTCAAAATTTTTGCTCTTTGAATAATTTCTTGTCTCTTCTTAGCAGAAACAGCATGTGAAATTTCAGCAGCATACTTTCTGTTTTGCATCATAATCATTTCAAGATCGGTTGTATTACGAACTGGGAATTTATAAAGTCCACATGGAAGCATATTTCTAGTAGCCTTAGCACTTCCATATCCAATCTTTGGAAGAAGATTAGTTCCCTTGAATTTTCTTCTTAATCTATTATCAATACCTCTTGGAACTCTCCATGATGCTTTAACACGAAGGAATCTATTTGAATCGAATCTTTTGAAGTGTCCAGTATATTTCTTGACAATCTTTGGCTTAGTGACTGGTCCGACCATTTGCAATTAAAAGTAATAATAACCCTAGTTTTTTTTTTAATTTCAAAAAAGAAAGAAATTTATTATTTATTATTATTTTACTATTATTATTTATTTAACTCTTTTCTTTTCTTTTTCTTAAATGAATTGTCTTGAATTTCTTCGTGACATTAAAAACCAAATGAAAGAAGATTTGGATAAAGAAAATATTCATTTATTTAATTCAATTAAACTTAAATACATTCTCCCTCAATCTTTAATTCGTCTTATTCAATTAGATATTTCTATAGAACAATTTGAACAAAACATTATTGTTTATGACTCATTTTCAAATAAAACAAGCTACTTAAGAAATTTAAAAAGGAATTTAGAAAAAGTTCATTTCACTTTAATTCAATGTGGAGTAGATTGGATTTATATTAAAACACTTCCAAATCTTTATTTGAACATTATTACTTATGTAAATAAAATAAATGATATTCAAGAATACTCATTATCATTATCACAGTTATTAACAAGAGGAAATACTTTAAAATTTGGAATTGTCTCATTTGAGGTAAATCGAATTTTTGTTATTTAATTGATATTTTTGTTTTTATGAAAAGTAGGAGATATTTCTTTTCATTAACAAATGATGTATTTAGTTAAAGTTTCATATATTTTTAATGAGTATTGATTCAAACAATATCACATATATTAAAATAAAATATACATTAAGTAAAAAGAACAGGAATTTGTTAATTCAATAATAAAAAGAATAAAAAAAGAAGAGAGAGAAGATAAATTTTACAAAATAAAATTAATAAAACAAATCAAATCAATATTTAAGTTATTATGATTATTTTGTTGTCAAAAAAGAATGAAAATAGAAGCTAAAGAGCAAAATAAATAGAATTTGTGTTATGGAAATACTCCAGAAATCAATTAACCAACAAAAAATGAAAGTTCTAGAATTTTTGAATTCGTGTATATTCAATTTCACTTCGATGTAAAAAAAATTGAATTCATATTTTATTCAATTGACATCATCATTTACATTGAAAATCAATTGAAAAATAATGAAAAAAAAAATAAAAAAAGAAAAAAGTTATTAGAAGATTAGTCTTACAATACGTGGCACGAACTATTTAAAACAGATACTTATAAAATATTAATCAATAAAAAAAGATAAAATGGCTGACGACTCAAAGTACAGAATTCATTTTGATGAATTAGAAAAATTCATGAAAGACGTATTAATGGCTAAAGGAGTTGAAGAAGCAGATGCAGCAAGATGTGCTAAAGTTCTTATTCAAGCTGATAAACAAGGAATGGATACTCATGGTATTCAAAGATTAAAAACTATTTATTGTGATAGAATTGATTGTGGACAATTAAATACAAAAACTGTTTTTGATGTTGTTAAAGAAACAGAAACTACAGCTGTAGTTGATGGACACAATGGTATGGGACATTCTATTGCTATGCAAGCTATGCAATTAGCTATTGATAAAGCTAAAAAACATGGAATGGGTATGGTAGTTGTTAGAAATGGTACTCATTATGGTATTGCTGGTTATTACCCACAAATGGCTGCTCAACAAGGATGTATTGGATTTTCAGGATGTAATGCTAGACCATCAGTTTGTCCATGTTGGTCTGTAGAACCAAAACTTGGAACTAATCCACTTGTCTTTGCCTTCCCAAGTGATGAAGGATTCCCATTCTGTCTTGATTGTGCAACTTCTATTGTTCAAAGAGGAAAAATTGAAATGTATGCCAGAGAAGGAAAGAAATGCCAACCAGGATGGGTTTGTGATAGAAGTGGTAAAGTTCTTTCTGAACCAGGACCTATGTTGGAAGCTTTCCAAAAAGGAACTGCTGCTTGTTATCCACTTGGAGGTTATGGAGAAGAGATGGGAGGTCATAAAGGATATGGTTATGCTTGTGATGTAGAAATCTTATCTTCAGCATTATCTGGAGCTAATTTCCTTTCTCAATGTGGTGGATTAAAGGATGGAAAGAAAGTCCCAATTGAACTTGGACAATTCTTTATGGCAATTAATATTGAATCATTTAGACCATTAGCTGACTTTGAGAAACAAGTTGGTGATATTGCTCGTGAACTTAGAGCTGCTGCTAAAGCCCCAGGTGCTACTAGAATTTATACTCCAGGTGAAAAAGAACATGAAACTTTCTTAGAAAGAAGTCAGAAAGGTGTTTTTATTCCTGAAGTTACAAGATCAGAAATGGAGAAATTAAGAGCTGACTGTAAACTCGACACTAAATTCCCATGGGATAACTAACTAATTTGAACCTTCTTTCATTTATACATTATGTTAATTATTTTTTTTCTTTTTATTTAGTAAAAAAAGAATTTATTTAAATTATTTCTTAATAATAGTTTAATTAATTAACGTTGTGATAAGCATCTTCATATTGTCGATGTTTTCTTTGTTTCTTAATAAAGAAAAATATTCCAGAAATAAATCCTATCAACACAAGAATTATTATCAAAATAATAATAATAACACAAATTATTTTACCAACTGAAGCTTTTGTACAATCCCCAAAACTATCACTTTCTTTAAACCAATTAGAACATTTTTCACAACCAGTTGTTGTACAATACCCATCAGAACATCCATCACACTCTAAAGAAATAAATTTTATTATTTGAATTATGTAAACATTTTATTTAACAAACTATAAATACACATACTATTATTTAATATGTAATGCTCTTCACATGATTTACATCCAATAAAATCTTCATATTCAATACAGCCATAAGGTAAAAGACATATTTGAGAAATGTTACTTTTATAAAAACCATCTTGACATTTAGTACATTTTTCTAATGTATCTCCTGTACATTTTTCACAATTCAATACACAAGGGTTACATCCATTTGTTTCATTCAAATAATATTTTGGTTGACATTCTTGACATCCAATTTCATCAATACATTTATCATATAAACAGTGTTTATCACACTCAATACAAGTTTCATTTAAAAAGTAATACCCTTCTTCACATAAATGAGTAGCATTTATAAAAACAATCAAATTGAGGAACAAAATATAATTCATGAAGTTTAGAACTTTGTAAGATAATAAGACAAGTAACTTGAAAAAATAATTATTTACCTATTTATTGTTAAAACATAAATAAATAATAACTTTAATAAAAATAAAAAATAAATAATACTATCACTTTAAATCAAATGGATCAACTTACCACAAGTCTTGAATTAGTTATTCCATTACCTGAAGACATTCCATTAGAAATTGCTAAAAAAATAGTTGATAAAATTGTAAGTGAAATGTATAATAAAAAACCAAAACATATATGTTTTTTAGAAGGAAAACAATGTCAAGTAAAATGTGAATTTATAGAAAAACCAGAAGAAGAAAAGTAATAATGAGTCATTCATTAAAGAGTAAAAATAATAAATTTTGTTTTTGATTTAATGAAAGAAAATTTCAAAAAAAGTATAAAAACCCTAAAAAGAACTTAAAACATTTTTAGACCACAACAATGGGTATTGAACCAGCATTGGAGGCTATTGCTAGAAAATATAATTGTGATAAAATGATTTGTAGAAGATGTTATGCTAGACTTCCTCTTAGAGCTACTACTTGTAGAAAAAAGAAATGTGGACATTCAGGTGATCTTAGACCAAAGAAGAAGATTCAATCAAAGAAATAATTGAGTTTTATTATGTGGTCCAATAATAAAATTAATATTTTGGTTTAATAAATGTAATAAATGTTATTGTTAAAATTTTAAAGGAATAAAAAAAATTTTAAAGGAAATGAATTAGTAATAATAAACAATGAAAGTTAAAAGAAGGAGTTGAAGAATTAAAAACAATTGTAAATTCTTTGAAATTAACTTCTATTTTTGAATATTTAAATCCAAACCCTTTTTGTTCGATTAAATTATAAAATCTAGTTATAATAATCATATATTATAGTTTAGAATGAAGTCTTTTATTCATTCCTTTTTCAAATAGAATTTCCCGGAGAAATACCACAAAAGGGTGTGAAATGGGTTTTTGAAATAGAATGAACTGATTTATTAAATCAGATATGTCGCTTTCAAACGATGGACGACGTATGAGGGGAGTGAATGATAGAAGAATGAAAAGAGAGAAACCATATAATAAAAGGAGAAAACAAGTGTTTGTTTGACGTTTAATATTTAAGAAAAATATAAAAAGTAACAGAAAGAATAACTTACACAGAACTTCTCCTGAAGACATACTTAATGATCAATTAGAAAAAATATTTGAGAGTGTCATGTTTGTTATTACTGAAAACAAAAAAAAAAGAACTTTTCTCTAAAAGAAATTAAAATAAATGTTCATTAAAGAAAGAGGACTTTTTAATATTATTATTTATTTGAACTTAGATATTCATTTTCCATAGACTACCTGATGAACTTGTTGATATGAGATATGAAGTAATGCAACGAATTGAACAAGTACTTAACCAGAATTATCTTGAATTTCGTTTTAGAGCACAAGTCTATGGTTCTACAGATTATGGACTATGCTTAAAAGATGGTGATTTAGATATATGTTGTTCAAGTCAATCAGGAAGACAAGTAAGTGCAATAATATTAGAGTCATTTGCGGAATGTTTTAAAAGAAGTTTGTTTTGATTAAATTCTATACAATAAAAGAAACAAATATGAGGGAATAAAGAAGAAAAGTAATAATAAAATAGATAATTTTGAAATTAGAAATGTTATTGAAAAAGCAAAAGTTCCAATAATTAAAATGGTTGATTTAGGAACTAAAGTTAATATTGATTTATCATTTAACCAACCAGTTGCTCAAATACATTCTGAATTTTTTTCTACAATGATTCATTGTAATAAACATTTTAGAATTGTTGCTGTATTGCTAAAATATTGGTTAAAAACTAGAAATTTAAATTGTCCATTTAAAGGTGGTTTGTCATCAGCAGCACTCTGTTTTATGAGTTTGTTTTTGTTTTATTTTATTATGAATTAATTAATTAATAATACAAATAGTATTACATTATTTTACATCATTTGAACCACCATTATTTCCATCAGATTTTAGATGTGTAATGGATAGGTGGCTTCGGTTACGAATATTAGGATCAAAAATACCAACACAAATTATTATTCAACATTCACCTGCTAGTTTGATAAAAGGTTTTTTCAATTATTTTAAAAATTATAATTGGAATGAACCAATAACAATAAAATATTTTAGACCTCCTGATGAGTTATTCATTATTCCTGCTGTTATGACTGTATTAGACCCAACATCTTTTGAAAATTGTACTAAAGGTGTTTCAATGGATGGATTAAAAGCTTTAAAAATGGAGTTAACACGAGCGAGTAAAATATTAAATGAAGAGAATGATTTTAATAGATTATTAGAAAAACCTGTACCATTTCCTGAATAAATGGAGTGTTTGTATATCATTTTTCTTTATTTTTTTTTTTTAACATTAATTAAAAACTTTTATTTATTTTTTGTTATTATTGTTATTTTTTAAAACAAAAAAATAATAACAATAATAATGTTTTAAGAAATTAATTAGTATCTTTCTTTCCCCAAAAATCTGGTAAATATTGACTAAACTTTTCATAATGGAATTTAAATCTTTCTCTTACTTCTTCAGGATTAAATGTATACATATCTTCTTCATGTTGTCTTCTTCCAAATTGTTTCTGAGGATGTCCATTTTCAATAACTTCTTTTAATGCACTATCAAATTCATCAGTATATTCCATACCAAAATATTCATAAATTTTTTGGACTGTTTCTTTTGGATGAGCTATAATTTCTGAAAATCCAACATCATAAATATATTTTGCACGTTCTGGATTTTGTGCAATCCATTGTTCTCTTGCAGCAAAAGCATTCTTTAACATAATTTCATTGAATCGAATAACTGTTTCATTTAACCATTTTATATCGTCAAGTCCAATGTCATGTTCATAACGTGCACGAACATTCCAATATAATAAAATAGCTGATTTTATATTTCCAATAGGTTCACGATGAAGCCATATAATTCTTGGATTATATTCATCTTTACACATTTGAGTTAAGAAAGGAGCAGGAGTCATAAAATGAGTTGCACATTTCATACAAAAGAATTCTTTATCATTTTTAAATGGATATTGGACTGCATGCATTTTCATTTCATCAATAATATCATCATAAACCCAATCATAATCTCTCATAATTACACTTTCCCTGTATTGTTCAAGTCTTGGAAGTGCTTGAGCAAATACAAGAGTTAATCCAAGCATTTCTGTGAAAAACATTTCTTCTTCTGGTCTTCTTACATCATTAAGAGCATGAACAGTATTAAAGTTTCTTTGAGAATCTTTTGTAATACTACCACAAATCATTTCAGCAATTTTAATTCTTGCTTCTTCTGTCATTGTTTTTGATCCTGGATTAAGGTGTTCATACATAGCAATTTTTTGACCTCTTGGATCAGCAGAAAATAAAGAATGGGTAAAAGTAGATCCACTTCTTGGCATAGCAACAATATATAATGGATTTTTAATTTGAACTTTAGCAAGTTCTTCTTTATCTATATCTCTTTCTTTTAAAAATCTCATGTATGAAGCAAGTTTAACAACATTATTTTTAAATACCATTTTAAATAATTCAGACTCTGGATCAAAACAACCAGCAAAAAATTCTCTAAAATTATCTTTAAATTTTGGGTCTTGAAGATATTTCATATATTCGTTTGGAATTGTTTTGTATAATTCTGTATGAGATGGGTCCATTTGACATAAAAATCCAACAGCATATTGAATTGCTTTCTGAAATATTGGATCAAATGCTGATTCTGGAAGTAATGGTCTATAATAAGGACTTTCTTTATTTGCTGTGTATGTATCTGCTCGTTTAAATTCCATAGGTTTATTACTTTTAAAAGTTCATTTTTTTAAATTCAAAGAAAAGTTTCTAATTGATTCTTAAGTAAAAAATACAATAAAAAATAATGAGAAAAGATGTAAAATATTTTTCATTTAATGGCGAAATATAATGATTTAGTTCATTTTTTTGAACTTTTGTTCGTTCATATTTTATATTCAAAAAGTGAACAAAATAATTAAAATTTTTTAAAAGAATAACAAATAAAAAATGAAAAAGTAATAAAAAGCAATTAATTAAGTATTAATAGAAGTAGTTTCTATTGTTCCTGCCTCAGGGGAGACTAATCCCATATCTTTGTCTTCTTCTAGTATTTCTACAGAGTATGTTTGATTGTAATTGAAGCAATATTCAATGACATTAATCATGTTTTTTATTACAAGGTTTTTAATTTCTTTCTCGATGTCAATTTTAATTCTTTAATTCTTTAATTAATTTAATACTTTCTTTATTTATTAATCCATTTATTGAGATTACTACTGGATTTATTTTGACATCTTTCAACTTTTCTATTTTCATTAGAATATTCTTTAATTCTTTATACTTATTTCTTTTCTTCTAATATTCTCCATTAATATTGTGATCAGCCACAATAGTCATATCAAATATTAGACCAGTTTTGTTCTTTTTATCTAATATATATGTCTGGTATTTTGTGATATTGTCCATCACTTTTATGCATTATTTGTTTGTTCCATATCATTGTAATGTCTTTATATTGGAATATTGTTTCATATGGGGTTTTTTATATTGTTTATTTCCTGTATATTTTCTTATTAATCAATATTATTATGCCATTATTGTCATGTTTTTCTATTTGTGACTTTTTATGATAAATACAAGATAGTAGAATGTGTTCTACTGTTGCTATCTTGTATTTACAAAGTGGGCAGTATTTCAATCTTTCATTTTTCATTATTTTTGATTTTCTATACAAACAAAATATTACTCCATCTTGCATTTTAGTTAATTGAAGAAATGCATTCTTTTTAATATTGATGGACTTCCATGCTTTCACTGTAGTAGTTTTATCTACTCCTTTTGACTCATTCCATCTTCTAAAATGTCTACTAATTTGATGACACTTCCATTTTTTGATGTATTTGTCATTAATTTCTTTATTTCTTCTACTACTTCTTTTTCTTTTTTCTTTTCAATCCCTTCATTTATTATTTCTTCTATTTTTGTTTCATTTATTTTATGAATTGATGTTTTTTAATTCTATTCCTTATTCCTTTCTTAATGTACCATCTATCTAATATGTTATTTCCTATTTCACTTTCTCTGGTACAGTAGTACATCATTGTTCTAACTAATTCATTAACATATTCGTCAATGATGTTTATTAGTCATTCATTTCTTCTATAATGACATACAACCGATCTTTGGAGTTTCACCAATGTATTTTGCCTTTCTTAAATATTTTCTTATCTCCAAATCAATTTTATCTAGGTCAGTTATTTTCCAATTTACAACTGATGCTGAATATCTGAAGATAGGGATTACTTCCGTGTTTATTCTAGTAATATATCTTCTATTACTACTTTCATCAGTGTTTATTTCTTCCATCTTCTTCATTTTTTCTTTGATGGTTTTACAATTGAAAGTGTCATCAATTTCGTCGGACTGCCATATTCCTAAGTATTTATACAAGTCATTGCATTAAATTACAAGATGTTTTGCATTCTATTTGGTATTTCCTAAATGAAATGATGAATAAATAACAACATAAAAACAAAATGAATAAAAACAGAGAAAAAAAGCAAACACACAAAATATTAAGAGAAAAAGTCAAAGAAAAGAATATAAATAGATAAAGTGTGATGTTGGAATAAAGAAATAATCGTTGAAATGATTGAAAGTCGATATGAATGATAATAAGAATAAAAGGATATAACGAATAATAAATAAATAACGAAAAGATATGAAATGGATGTAATAAGAGACAATAGAAGAGTCATATCTCTATTAACATCAACTCAAAAAAAAAGAAATAGAAGTAAATGAAATGGTGTGAAAGAGAATAAATAATTTCAAAACCAATTCATACAAACTTCTCTTCATAATATAGAATGAAATGAAAAATATATTATTTAAGTAAAAACCAAAATTAGTTAAAAAGAATTGAATAATGAATTAAATTATTTGAATATGATTTATATGAATTAAGTTGTTTCTTGAAATTAATATATTATCATTCATTTATTTCTTATTATTTCTTTTCATTTTATTTACTTCTTTATTAACTTTATGATTGGTATGTTCATCTATAATTCTTTCTTATTTTGTTATACTTTTCTGATTTAAAACTCTTTCATTTCTTATTCTATTCATTTCTTAGAAAATAAAATATAAAATTATAGTAGTATTTCATTAATCTTTATTATTCTGTTATACCATTGTCTATCCATTCAAACTTATTAAATTATTCATTCTTCTTTCTGTTTATTCACAATATCACATAAATATTCTTTCTATTCATTGTTTTATTTAATTATTTCTTTTGTTATATTGAAATTTAAAATCTATTTCATTATGTAATACTTTAATCTATTTGTTATTCTTATATTCTTTTATAATATATTATTTATCTTTCTTTTTTATTCTTTCTCTTATTCTTAATACTTTTGTTATGTTGTTATATTCTTTTTATTTTTTCTTATTGACATACTTTATTATATTATTATTCTTGAAAATATTGAGTATTTCAGATGCTTTATTAAAAGAGAAGATGATTTGAATAATTCATTCAATAACATTCATTATTTTCTTCTGTTTCATTGAAAATCTTTTATAATAATATTGATTTCTTAGCATTAAACTTCTTTGTTATTCCAATTTTTCTGTTTATTCCTTTCTTCTTTGTTTTCTTCATATCCTTTGTTTCTTCTGCTTTTATAACTTCTTTAGGAAGAGAAGTAACTTTAACTCTTTTACCATCATTATTTACTGAATGTTCTTCAATGAATTTCTTCTTTTCTTGATTGAACTTTCTTCGTTCTATTTCTGCTTTGAATTTGTGTAATTTAACCATATCATCAATTGAAAATTCTACCATGACTCGTCGTTGTTCTTTAAATTGAAGACTTTCGTTGACTTTTTCTACAAATTGATATGCATCTTCCGCTGATGTAAATGTCAAAAAACAATATCCAATTGCTTTTCCTCTCTCTCCTTTAATGATTTTAATATCTGATATTTTCCCTTTACTACAATATTTCCCAAATGTTTCCATTATCATCTTTTTATTCGTGTTTTTCGGAATATTTCTTACACACACTCGATATTTATTAACACAGAAATTAACATTTTTTAATTTTTTATTTCGTTCCATTTGTGCTTTTAATCGCATTTTTGCTTCACTTGGTGTTAATCCAAGTTGAAGATATTCTTCTTTTGTTTTTTGTCCAACCATAGCTAATGAAACATTTCTATTGTCTTTGATACCTTCTTTTTTCTTCTTTTTACTATTACTTCTATCTTGTGCTTGTTCTTTGTTTATTGCTTTCTGAAGAATTAATCTTCTTCCATCAATCTCAATGTCACTTTCCTTACTCCCTGAAAACATATATGCTTCTTCAATAACTTTCTCTGCTACTCCTCTTTTTCTGAAACAAACAAACCCTGTTCCTCTACTAATCCCTTTTTCTTTATCCATACAAATCTTACAATATGAAACTTCCCCATATTCTCCCATCTTTTCTTTTAACTCTTCTTCACTTGTTTCGAATGATAAATTTTGGATGAATATCGTTCGATAGATTTGGTCTTCTTTATGTAACTCTTCTTTTTCCTCCCGACTTAATCCTTTTCGCTCAATTTTCTTTTCTTGCTTCTCTTCTTTTTCTTTTGTTTTTTTACTCTCTGTGTTTCTTAGTTTCTTTCCTTCTTTCTTTATTTTCCCTTCTGCTTTTTGTTTTATTTTCTTCATTTCTCTTTTTTCTTCATCCCTTCTTTCCTTGTGCTCTTCATCCGACATTGTGTCTTCTCTTTCTTTGTTCTCTTTGAAGGGTTTATTTCTTTATTATTACTTCTAGTATTTTTACTATCCTCTTCTTCTATTTTCTCTTCATCTTCCTTCCTTCACCCATCTCATTTCCTTTGTGCTTTAAGTGTCAATGACTCACCCAAAACCTCACTTCGTCTTCATCATTGAAAAGACAAAGAATTACGCTTTGTGAATAAACCACCAATTTCAAATAAAAACAAAAAGAAAAGAACTAAGAAAGTTTCATAGTCGAATGAGTGAGGTACAACCAATTCCAGTGACGGTTTCTCAATATTCATATTACTCAGATAAAAATTATCCAAAGCGAAGAACAATGGAAGTTTGTTTTCAAGAGTCAAATGACATAAAAAGGAGTTAATTGATGTAGGATGCTCATGTTATTTGTGATCCATTAATTGAGGTAGAAGGTCGTGTCTATTCATTATATGCAATCTTTGATGGACACAGAGGACGTACAGCAGCACAGCATTGTGCTAAAATAGTTAAAGATAAAATTAAAGAAGTTTTACAAAGAAAAGATGAAGGGTTTGAAGAAATGATGCAAGATGCGATGTATGAAATGGATATGAGTTTAAAAGAAAATGGAATTGAATATTCAGGATGTTGTGCATTAATGTGTATTATTGAAATAAAAGACAAGAAGAGAATAATTCATATGGCAAATTGTGGAGATTCATGTGGAATTATTATAGGAACAAATGAAGTAATTCCAATGAGTGAAGAGCATAAAGCAACAAACGAAAATGAAGCAAAAAGAATTAAAGAAAGTGGAGGAATGATAATAAATGGAAGAGTCAGTGGAGATGTAGCAGTTACAAGAGGGTTAGGAGATCATCATTTAAAACAATGGGTTGTGTCAGAACCATTTGTTAAAGAAGTAGAATGGCAAGAGGATTACAAATATATTGTTCTTGGGTGTGATGGGTTATGGGACACACTCAATGGGAATCAAATTAAAGAAGTATTAGAATC